CGGCCGGGGCCTCCCTGCCCACCTGCTGGATCTCCAGCTCCGTGTCGGGCTGCTGGCGGCCGAGCAGCTTCATGGGGAAGCTGGTGTGCGGCAGCAGCACTGTGTCCCGGTATCTGCCACTACTCGAGTTCTGCAGCTGGTTATTGGCCCCGGTGACTGACCGCGACAAAAGCCTTCCCGTCGGCCCTCGCCATCCCGGGCGACAACGAAGGTGGGGCGGCACCCACAGGTTTCGGGCCGTGGCCAGAGCCGCCGCCCCCGGCCCGTGCGGGTGTAGCCCCCAACGCATGGCTGGCTAACCCCGGCCTCCCGCGGGCGCCAGGTCCTCCGCGGGACAACCCCGCCCGGGCTCTGGAAACCGCGGCCCCCAGAACACCTCCACGAGCTCTCCCGGAGTGCGCACGCGCGCGGGGCGCGGAAGAGGCGGGGAGCAGGCCCTTCCCGGGGGCGGCGAGAAGGAAGCCACCTCGGGTCTTGGCCGCAACCCCGGCGGGGGGCGGGGCTGACTCAGAGGGGCGGGGCAAGGCGGGGCGCGCCTGCCGGGGCCCAATCACAGTGCTCTACTTTAGCTTTCAACGTATATTTTATTTCACCCAGTATCTCCAAGATATTATCACTTCAACGTGTAATTAAAATAAAATTATACAAAAGATACCTTCTTCGCCCGAATTTTTTTTTAAGTTTTATTTATTTCTGAGAGAGAGAGACAGCGTGAGCAGGGGAGGGTCAGAGAGAGAGGGAGTCACAATCTGAAACAGGCTCCAGGCTCTGAGCTGTCAGCACAGAGCCCGACGCGGGCCTCGAACCCACGAACCGTGAGATCATGACCTGAGCCGAAGTCGGAGACTTAACCGACTGAGCCACCCAGGCGCCCCTCGGTCCGCATTTTACACATACAGCATATCTCACTTTGGGCTGGTGATTTGCCAAGCGCACAACCACCACAAGGGGCTGCTTTTGTGGGCAGCGCCTCCTGAGCTGAGTGCCAAGTTCAGGACCAATATTATACAGCAACCTAATTATGTAACTTTCAGGTCCCTTATATCCCTGTTACGTCCCACGCCTACAGAATAATACAGTGTATAGGATTTCAGCTCTGGTTTCTGCCAGAAACCCACTTTGTGTTTTTTAATGTTTACTTCTGTTTTAGAGAGAGGGAGAGCAGAGGAGGAGCAGAAAGAGAAGGGGACAGAGGATCCAAAGCAGGCTCTGCACTGACAGCAGAGAGCCCGATACGGGGCTAGAACCCACGAACCATAGGATCATGTCCTGAGCCTTAGCTGGACGCTCAACTGACTGAGCCACCCAGGTGCCCTAGACTTTTCTGTGGTGCTTGTGGAAAGCTTGTTAGGCCACTTTACAACAACAACAAAACAGCAAAGCGGAGTGAGAGGGAGGGGGAATAGCATGCATTAGCTACAGTAGTACCTGTTTTCACTAACAGAAAGAAAAGAGGATTTTCGCTTTTACGAAATCAAGTGAAAATAGCATCAAGCATTTGTTTTGCAGCAAGCACACACCCAAGCAACCGAAGTGGCCCCTCCAAGCTCCTGCCCCGGAAACTAAACACAGCATCTCCACATCGGTGGCTAACACTCTGAACTATGTGTGTGAGCATCTCCATTTATTCTGTGCATCTGTTAGCAAGATGTGTCCTCAGGTATCAGAAAAGCTTCAAAAAGGTTATTTTTGGGCGACTTGGAATGCTAAAAAATTTTTCTCCATATACATTAACGGTAATTGCTTCTTTGCTTTACTTCATTTAGGTTTATGAAATATTTCATAGGAACACTCTACTCTCAGAGGAAATCCTGTATTTGGTTGTCCAGGTAATGGTAGTTCACAACTGTTAGCTTTCCACTGTAGAGTGTATCTCTTCCTATTCATAAGACACGACATCTAGAAGAATTGGCTTAAATAAAACGACTGATTTTCTCCAAAAATAAAAAGAAAATTTTATATGGAAAAACATACCACAAAGTAAGAAGGTAAGTGGCAAATAGTAAGCATTCAGTGTCAGCTTTTCACCTTTCATCGTGCTTTTTGAAAGTCTGTGTTAGCCTACTTTCCCTCTCTCTCTCTCTCTCTCTCTCTCTCTCTCTCTCTCACACACACACACACACACACACACAAAGTGAAAATAGCATTTATTAGCTACATTAGTATCTGTTTTCAGTAACCAAAACAGGTTAGCTCCTTACCTGTATTAACTCATTTATTCATTAAAGCCTATAAAGTGAAGACATAACAAGCCAAAATAACCCTATGAGGTGAGGTAGGTTCTATGGTTATTGCCATTTTACAGTTAAGGAAACTGAGGCATACAGTGTTAAGTAACTTGGCTGAGATCATACAACTAAGAAGTGAGAGATGGGATTTAAGTCCGGGCAATTGGTTTCTAGTGGCCATGTGGGTAATGTTGTACTATATTGCCTCCCCCGCACTGTACTGTGGGAGGAAACATTTGCAAAAACATTTTAAAAAGTTAATATCCAAAATGTATAAGCAGCTGCTACAAATCACAAAAATAAATATCAACCACCAAAGAGAAAAAAAGTCATAGGATAAGAATAGGCAATTCACAGAGAAATGGAAACAGCCAGTAAACAAACATACTCAAAGATACTCAACTTTAAGAATCATCAAGGACAGGCAGATAAAACAAGGTACCATTTCCATCCAACATAATAAAGGAAAAATTAAGAAGTTTGATAACAAGGACTGGGAGGGCATATGAAAGTGGCCTCTCTCACATTGCTGGTGGTAATGTAAAACTTGTACTGCCTTTTTGATGATTATTATTTATTTTATTTTTGAGAGAGAGCATGAACAGGAGACGGGCAGAGAGAGAGAGGGGAGACAGAGGATCCAAAGGGGGCTCCATGCTTACAGCAATGAGCCTGATGTGGGGCTCATACTCACAAACAATGAGATCATGACCTGAGCCACAGTTGGATGCTCAACCAACTGAGCCACCCGGGGGGTCCCTGTACTGCCTCTCTGAATGGCAATTTGGCAATATCTGTCACCATTTCACTTTTGACCTGCAATTCTGCATTGGGGAATCTATCCTGTGAGCTTTAGTCTCACAGGAGCACAATGATGAATGCACAGAGCAGCTCTCCTAACCAACCCCTACATAACCCATTGCTGAATCCAACAGTGCTCTCTGTCTCCCCATGAAACACAAGGGTACGCTGAGCCCTCAGAGCAGACGGCTACCCTTTAAGACACCTGCATACTTCCCTCTTCACCTGTTGAGTTTGCAGTCAGGTTTATCCTTAAACTTATTCAAGTCAATTGTACTTGTTTTGTATTACTTAATTATAAAAACCAACACTTAAAATGGTAAATTTTGTTATATACCCATTTTACCACAATAAATGGTCTGACTTAAGTCTCAGAGTTAATATGAAAATCAGATGAGATTCTATAGGTAAAAAGACTTCTCAAACTAGAACTGCAAGTAATGGTAGCCATTTGCTGATGTTCTCCAATGAGTTTTTTTAAATGACAATTATTGGGTTTTTTTTCTACTTATAAAAGTTTGGGAGTTACAGAAGAACACACAGAAACAAAAATGGTTCACTGACTACTCTCTTCCCAAAACCAATGCGTTTTTTCTTTTAATGCAAAGGTAACTGCTTTTATGAAAACCAAGCTGAATGCTCTAAAAAGTCCAGTAAAGACAAATCTCAAAATAAACTGTTGCTGAATCAGGTGAAGATAAAACAAGTGCATAGTAGTGGAGAAAATATCATAAAAAATTCTAAGTATTCTACAATTAGAATGTATCTAAGTGTCTAAGCTACAAAACTAGACAGTGCATTATGGCTCTGCATTCGCAGGAGACAGAAAGCAAAATTCCAATCCCAGGACACATGCTCTAAGCAAAGATCTGAGCACATAGTATCCTTTGCATTTTTCCTTTTAAGCAATGAGAATGTCATGGGTTACTTATCTAACTTAAAAATAAAGTAGTACCTTTATTCATATAAAAGATGTCTTTAACAATACAAAATGACTGTTCCCTTTGATAGGTGTTCTTGTCCTGAATTGTACTCTAACAATATAGTTTTTGGTTTTCCAATCAATTGGAAAATTTGTCTTTAAATGGATGAGTTTAAGCAATTTACATTTATTGTTGTAACTGATATGTTTGCTATTAACTTTGGCATCTTATTGTATGTTATTTATTATATCATAATCACCGTGCCCTGCTTTTTAAAATTGAAAAAAAACATGGCCTATTCACTCTGCTGTTTTCATTGCCTATCTTCCTCCACACGCAAACATAAACACAGGGAGGCACAACGAGTGTGCTCCTTAAATACATAGTGAAAGCATAAATGAATAAACAGGGAATTTTTGGTTTTGCTTGTTTTTATGTCAGTGCAATAAAAACCGTAAACAGGTTTCCTTCAGTGCCCCCAAAACAAACAAAAACCACCCCCAAATCATTAAGAAGGAACATCTGTCCAGGAAAAGAGTTTACTGACGGGCATATGAAACGGTCACAGACCCCTTCAAGAATTTCATAAATGCTGGGGCACCTGGGTGACTCTGGCTCAGGTCAGGACCTCACGGTTGGTGAGTCCGCAGGCATCAGGCTCAGCTAAGCCCGCTTTGGATCCTCTGCCCCCCTCTCTCACAAAAGTGAATAAACATTTCGTTTTTTAAAATCTCATAAATGTTTGAAGGGAAAAAAAAAAAAGGTAAACGCTACAGAGAGCGTGGACCTCCGGAAGCCACTCGTCGGACAGCTGGGGTTCAAGGCCAGGCAGTCGCCGGCTGCCGCAGGGTGACATCACCACCCAACGAACATTTGAAGAGCGAACCATATGTACAAAATGGACTGGACGTCCCCTGAAATCAGAAGGAATCTTAAAAAGCAGACACACCTCTCGCTGTGACGCGAGGCAACACGCGCCGGCGGGAAGTTCTGGGAAAACACGGAGAAACGGCGTCTTCCGGGGCCTCGGGCGGGCGTGGGAGTGGCTGCTCTGCGCCTGCGCCGACTTTCCCGCAGGCTCAGCGGCTGCGGCGAGTTTGTCCCGCATCCGCCAGTACGCGACCTGTCGGCCCGGAGCTGGCCGCCGCGAGGGACCTGTTGCTTGATAGCTTTCAGTTGCTGTTGTCACCCTTCCAAGTGTCTTTCGTCTAGCCTTGTTCCAGGCTCGTCACCGTAAGTTTCTCCTCTGCGAATCAGAGCAAGGGCCTCGGGCAGATCTGAGCCGTTGATTGCTCCCCTAAATCCACCGCATTGCACAGATATAAGGAGATTTCGGGGATTTGTGAAAGAAAGAAAAAAGATTGCGTGAATCAGATTGCCTCTCCAGGCATTCCAATTTCGGACCTAGATTCTTTTTTTTATTTTTTATTTTTTTTAATGTTTTTATTTATTTCTAGGAGAGAGAGAGAGAGAGAGACAGCGTGAGCAGGCGAGGGTCATAGAGAGAGGGAGTCACAGACTGAAACAGGCTCCAGGCTCTGAGCTGGCAGTCAGCACAGAGCCCAACGCGGGGCTCGAACCCACGAACCGCGAGATCATGACCCAAGCGAAAGTCGGAAGCTTAACCGACTAAGCCACCCTGGCGCCCCGGACCTAGATTCTTGAGTGTCAGCGATGTAACTGTTCATCGGTGCGTTTAGTTTCGTGCTCTAGGGTCTTTTCACAGCTATATATTGTAGAAATAACAAGGCAAACCTGGACAGTGGAGAGACTTCCTTACGCCTAAAATTAAATTTCCTTAAATCAACACACATTCTTCCTACTGTCTTTGCTACATACTTAGAAACTTGCTTGATTTATTCAGGTTTTCTGAAAATATAGTTGCTAGTTCAAAAGATGTGTACATTTTATTTTTAGTAAGCTTTTCAAAACCATCCTAAGAGGTTTTAATCACTTTGCAGCCTTGCTAACAGTGCTTCAGGAGGATGTTCCCTCACAGGCTAGCCCACATTGGGCATATTTATCCGTGCCAGTCTTACACATCAATAATCAGCTTTCCCTGTTTTAATTTGCATTTCTTTCATAGAGAGGTTGAGCATTTCATGTAATTAACTAATGGCCGTTGCTTTTCTTTTTCTAGGAATAGATTGTGTCCTTTGTTCATTTTTCTAGGGGATTATTTATCTTTAACATGCTGATGTAAAAAGCCCTTTATGTAACCAAAATTAGCTCAGATGTCTAGGATGTAATACAGATTTTTTTTCTCTCATTTTGTCAGTCATCTGCTTTGTGGTAATTTGGTTACATAGACATTTTCATTTTAATGCAAATTTGTCAATATGTGCTTTTATAGATTCTTAGTTTTTCTCATGTTTAAAAGTGCTTTACCAAATTTATAAAATATTTAATACAGTTTTATTCTCATGGTTGTGTGGTTCATTCTTTACTTGTAAAATCGTGCACTTATCTGGAGTATATATTTGATACAAAGAATGCAGAAAGTTTTAACTTTCAAAAAGATTAACAATTGTTCTTGCCATTATTTGCACAATTAACTTTCCCTTGTGCTTTGAAATACCACCTGTAGTGTGTTTGGATCTATTTCTGGAATTTAATTCTGTCTGGGACTAAACTGTTTAATTACTATGGTTTTATATCATACTTTGATAACTGGTAAGGAGTGTATCTGCTCTTTTTTTTTTTTTAATGTTTATTTATTTTTGAGAGAGAGAGAGACAGTGCAAGCAGGAGGGGGCAGAGAGAGAGGGAGACACAGAATCCGAGGTAGGCTCCAGGCTCTGAGCTGTCAGTACAGAGCCTGACACGGGGCTGGAACTCACAGACCACGAGATCATGACCTGAGCCAAAAGTCGACGCTTAACTGACTGAGTCACCCGGGTGCTCTGTTGTGCTCATATTTTTATTTTTCTAGATGACTTTGAACCTTAGCATCATTTGATCAGGTTTCAAAATAATCTTTGTATTTTGATTGGGAACTCATCATTCATTAAAAAAAATTTTTTTAATGTTAGTATTTTTTCGAGACAGAGCAGAAGGAGGGGAGGGGCGGGGGGGGGAGACAGGGGATCTGAAGCAGGCTCCAGGCTCTGAGCTATTGGCACAGAGCCCAACACGGGGCCGAACTCATGGACTACAAGATCATGACCTTAGCCAAAGTGGGATGCTTAACCCATGCCAACCAGGCGCCCCTCGTCATTCATTTTTGAATCCTAACCCTCATGTGCTCACCACCTTTATACCAATACAAAGTACTTCTCCCAGGCTATCAAAGGAAATGGATCATTTGATTCCCGTTTTTATCCTTCCAAATTAGCCCTATTGGCAGCTGTAAAGATTTCTTAAAGGGTGGGGTGTTGGGTTGATAGCCTTAAGTGGCATGCAACCTTTTTTAATACATACTCTTAGCCTCAATCTCGGAATGTTATAAAAAAGAATCTCTCCTGTGATTTAGGGTCGTATTGGTTATCGCATTACATCCCTAGGGTCAAAATAATGTTGCAGAAGTTTATAGGAATTGTTTTGCCCTGATGTCTCTGCAGCATGGCCAGTAATGAGGACAATTATTACAATAATGGTTGGCCAGTATTATTTAGTGCTTACCTTTTTACCAGGAACTGTTATAGGTGCTTTGCATGCACTACTCATATAATAATAACAACCCCATGCTATAGCCTATATTGTTTGCTCCATTTTACAGCTTGAGGCACAGAAAATTTAAGCTGTTTTCCAAAGATCACACAGCTGGCATATGTCAGAGCCAGGATTTAAACACTGGCAATCAGCTCTAGCGCTGTGCCTTTACCTACCTTATGCTGTTTTTGAGTAAGCTTTCAGAAAGAGGTGTTCACAAAAGGTGGTGTTTTAGGACCCAGAAGGCATAAAACTGGTCGAGAAGGAAGTACAGTGTGTGTAATTTGACCTGCTATCAGGAAGTTAGCAACTTGCAGGTAGCTTTTCAGACCTGTTCTGGCGCCCCGGTAGCATCCACAGGTGATTCTCCAACAGGTGATTCTCTTTTGGGTTTTGGGCGGAGACACAATTAAAAAGGAACCTCTTTTACAGATGTGTTTTGATAATATGATTAGATTCCCTTTCTTTATATTAAGGGCGAAAATTGTTTTCATTTAAGAAATATGTAAGAAAAATATTAGACGGGGATAATAATATTACTAATTATGTTTGAATCAAAGTATTTCAAAGAAATTGGTTGGACTATTTTATTTGCCCACTAGAAGTGATTTGCAGGATCTCTTTAAAAATCAAACCTAGGGTGTACCTGGATGGCTAAGTTGGTTAAGCATCGGACTTCGGCTCAGGTCTTGATCTCAGGGTTCCTGAGTTGGAGTGGGGCTTGCTGTTGTCAGCGCAGAACCCACTTTGGATCCTTTGTCCCCCTCTCTCTGTGTCTCCCTTGCTCATTCTCTCTCTCTCTCTCCCACCAAAAATAAACCAAAAAATAAAAACCAAACCCAACTATTATATTCTTATGAAACTGATATTAGCTTTAAATGACAGTGCATACAATACACATTTTATGAGGAATGTAGTAAAAAGACAAAGCCTGAAAACTTATTATGAGAAAATACTTGGACTTGGCAAACATAAAGGGAAGTGGTTTAGTTAGATATGAAGCCTGTTAAGCCTGAAATGATTACTTAATTGGCTCAAAGGTAAATGATATTTTGAAAAGTTAGAACACCACCACACAGTGAGGGAAAATGATTTGCCGTTATAAATGTCATTTTATAGAAGATGGGGACTGAATGAGCATACCAACACATACTAAAATATCCTCAGTGGTTAAGACATTTGGCGCCTGAAGACTACCTTTTCCAATGTAGAATAAATCAGATATGTAGCTGGTCATGGATAATCAGGGAGTAGAGGTTAGGTCAACAAAGTATTTGCTGAATTATTTCACTTGTTTTCTATTTGAGTGTTCCTGAAAGAGTAATTTTCATGAGCAGTTTTCCCACATGTAGTACCTAGCACGCCAAGAAAATGATTGTAGCCTGATTATGTTATAATAAGATAAACAGGATTTAAATACAGAGGAATTTGTTTTACTTTCATCTTAATTCTGGACAGCTACTGGTCACAATATGGTATTCATTACCTTCAAATTCAATTCTGTTCTCCTTCTGAAGGGTTTCAAATACTTCACTTGTATTTTGTCTCAATTACGTTCATAATCCCTGTGAATAGAATGTGGATGACGGGAAAAAGATGTAAAAAAGAGCATGAAAGCCCCATCCAATCAAACATGCAGTCAGAAATTGGTGGTAGGATGATGGCTGTTGCTGAATTGAGGTTTATAATGTCTTTTCTGTGTTGTGTTCCTTTATTGCATTGAAATAAGGTTGACCTGATTTGATTGGGGGGGGGGGTACATCAGATGTTCCCTGTAAGCACTCTGAGACAGAGATAAAGTCCAAGAGGTTTATTAGGGAGTGTTCTTAAGATCACTTGGCGGGGGGTGGGGGGGGGTGGGGAGTTGGGCCATGACGCAGTCTCAGCCAAGGTCTCTGTCACCCAACTGTGTTGGGCATTCAGAAGCTCGGATGACCCCCCAGAGGTAGGGTGGCACCCAGTTGGAGTGTGGAGTGGCCTTTAAACCCGTCCTCACTGTTGACCAGTTTCAGATGAAATGACTCATCTCAGCAGATAAATTTCCAAAGAAAGGTGGCAGATAAGGGCTATATGTTGGTGGCTCTCTCAACAGCTGGGGAAATGTCCCTCAGCCCTGAAGGGATTCTGGGTGGTGCATCGCAGACTCAGAACAGTCACTAAAGTCGCAGGATTTGTATTTGTGTTTTCAAAGAGGAATATACTTTATCCTACAGGCTGTTTTTTCCCCTGTATTTTTCCTTGGGCTGGGGGCTATTCTGACACTCATTACTTTACCCCAATTAATTATGTTGTTTGTTTTCTTTATTTGGCAACTGATGATGATGGAAGTAAGTAACCAGCAGCTGAAATATTATTTACTCTTTAATGGAATAGTCTGTGTTTTTTAGGAACTAATTGTAATTACATGCAATCCCTCCTCTTTTTAATGGTTGCACGCATCCATCCACATCCCTTACGCTGTCCATACTTCTCTTGGCACTCACTAATTTTATGTTAAAGGCTTTAGGTTATAATATTTTATCCTCAGCTCACCAAAATATTAGCTCCTTGGTGGCAGATGTTATATTATTAGTCTCTGAGGCACCTTCCACGGCCTTTGCGTGTGCATACATACACCTCATACATACAACTTTTTCACACACTCATAGGCCTGGGCCAGTTTACCCCATGCTTCAAAATGTACCATCTGCAGAGAGAGAGAATACTATATAATTTATTGAAAGAATCAATGCTGAAATGGAAGTTTTTCCAAATCTCTTTTAGTAAATATTTATTAAAGAATCTACACAGTTAGGCACTCAATAAATATCTATTGAATTGAATTCTAGTAACTAAAACCTGTAGTTGGCTTCAAAAATAATACAACTTTCTCTTAATTTCCCCCTAGGGCTTATCATGGCTTCCAGTCATACTGTGTTGATGCGGCTGGTGGCCTCAGCGTATTCTGTTGCTCAAAAGGCAGGAACCATAGTCAGATGTGTTCTTGCTGAAGGAGACCTGGGTATTGTGGAGAAGGTACTGAAAGTCTCATTACCTTTCATACCAACTTTATTTTTGTTCCTTGAAGATTATTTTATTTATTTATTTTTAAATTTTTTAATTAAAAAATATTTTTAATGTTTTATTTATTTCTGAGAGAGAGAGAGAGAGAGAGAGAGAGTGTGTGTGTGTGTGTGTGTGTGAGAGAGCAGGGGAGGGTCAGAGAGAGAGGGAGACACAGAATCTGAAGCAGGCTCCAGGCTCTGAGCTGTCAGCACAGAACCTGACGTGGGGCTCGAGCCCACAAACCGTGAGATCGTGACCTGAGCCAAAGTCGGACACTTAACCGACTGAGCCACCCAGGCGCCCCATATTTATTTATATTTTTTGAGAGGGTGGAGGGGCAGAGAGAGAGAGGGACAGAGGATCCGCAGTGGGCCCTCTGCCGACAGCAGAGAGCCTGATGTGGGGCTCACAGGGCTTGAATCCATGAACCGAGAGACCATGACCAGAGCCAAAGTTGGACACCTAACCAACTGAGCCACACAGGTGCCCCCCAAACATTTCACTTTAATTCATGCTTCATGTTAACCAAGAAAAGATCATTGCTGATAGATCACAGGACTCTGCTTCTGACTCTGTCTTTTTCTCTTTAATGATTAACTTAAATATAGTTTTAAAAATTCATTGAACGCATCTTCTGAAAAATGTTGTGGAAGAGGAGGACATAGAAATCATACTTATCAGGAGTGCCGGGGTGGCTCAGTTGGTTAAGTCTCTGACTCTTGATTTCGGCTCAGGTCATAATCTTGCAGTTTGTGAGTTCGAGCCCCACATGAAGCTCTGCACTGACAGCGTGGAGCCTGCTTGGGATTCTCTCTCTCCATCTATCTCTCTACCCCTCTCCCGCTGGTGTGCATTCATGCTATCGCAAAAATAAATAAACATTAAAAAATAAGAAATCATACTTACCAAATTTATCAATAAAATGAACCTGGGGAGAGTAGTTAATATGTTGGTTAGTTAATATATCAGATCACAGAATAAGTATTCAAAAAGTTACAAGCACTGAGAAAAGAGGCCCAAGTCTAACAGGATATTATACTGGGAATAATCTTAAGGTCCCAAAGTATTTATGTTCAAGGAATAAGAATAAATCTAATTTATATTTGTTCAAAAAAGAGGGTTAGGTGACGACATACATACTCAGTGATAAATCAGCAATGCAACTCAGCAACTTTTCAGAAGGCTGCTAATGTCTTTTTAATAAAGTTTTTTTTACTGTTATGAAAAACAGGAAATGAAGAAAAATAGCAAAAAGTAAAGAAAAGTTACCCATCACTGCCAATACTTATAATCATTTTTTCCACATAGTTTCTTTATAGCATCATTTATTTTTAAATTGATTTTGGGGCGCCTGGGTGGCTAAGTCGGTTAAGCGTCTGACTTCGGCTCAGGTCACGATCTCATGGTTCGTGGGTTCGAGCCCCGCATCGGGCTCTGTGCTGACAGCTAGCTCAGAGCCTGGAGCCTGCTTCGGATTCTGTGTCTCCCTCTCTCTCTCTGCCCCTCCCCTGCTCACGCTGTGCTTCTCTCTCTCTCAGAAATAAATAAAACATTAGAAAAATTTTTTAAAAAAATTGATTTTATGTAGTGAGTATAGTAGATGTACCACATTGTAGCCTGTAGCTCAGGAGTAATGGAAAAACAGTATTCAAATTAGGAAAAAGGTAATAATCTCACTGTCTTCTTTATTGGTCAGACACTTATAGTACTTTCTATCCACTTGTTGACACCTCATTTAAAAGAGGAAGGGCAGAATTAAATTTGTCACACAAAGTATTCAGAATGATGAGGTCTGGCACTATGTCAGTTGAAAAAGCAGGAAATAATATCCTGGAGAAGAAAGGAATTGGGATTAGCTTTCCTCATATACTTAATGGCCATCCATCAGTGTGCCTTCTTTTCTCTAGAGAGCAATCTCTAGACTTGATTGCTCTGTCATCTTCAGATTTAGCAATTCTTTTAAAAAGTTTCAGCAGATGTTTCTAGAGCAGCTACCGTGTGCCAGACAATTCTTTAGGAAATAAAACAAAGATCTTTGTCTTTGTGGCACTGTATTCTACAGAAAAGTACTTCGTACTGAGATAGTCAGCAGACTTCAGTGTGGCATAAGAGTTTTTGATTTTCATGATCATTCATTGTCTCACTCAAAAGTATTATACAGTTTCTGCTATTTAAAGTAATACAATCCATAAACCCACCTAACCAGGCATATGTAAATTGCAACATTTCATAATTCTGCGAAAGCAAACTAACAAAAGAGGCTGTGGCTGTCAACTGCCAGGTTTTCCACCGTCTTTCACTAGAACGACTATCTGTCATATGGCTTGCGTGAAAATATTGTAGAAATATGTAACTCACATATATCAAATATTATTGCTATTCACTTTCATATTTTTTATATTTGAAAAAAAGGAATTCTTTCTATCATCCTGAGAACCTGTTGAATTATTAGGAAAGTAGGTCAGTAGATTAGCAGAAGATTAGTGAGTAGAAGTTATAGAAGCATCTGTGTAAGGAATACCTTTCAAAGAGCTAAAGATAAAGTTTTTAGCTCTGACTGTCTTGAAAAGTTATGAATTTCCTGTCTCTTCATCTTTTTAAGTAAAAGATTTATGTAGAGATCTTTTGAAGGCAATTTCTCAACTGGGGGAGAAAATGGTCGAATAATCTAAAAGCTCCTTTCCAAACTTTAACCACTATAAATCCTATGAGAAAAACCAAACTGGGAAACTAGTTGATTCATTTAGTGTTCAGTTCCGTGAATCTAAAAGCAGACAGTGTAATTTAAATGATATAGACACTCATGCATTAAGAATCAGAGGACAACTTCATATTAGTTCTGCTGAAATTTACATTCTTTGTTGCAGACCTGCCCCACAGACCTGCAGACCAAAGCTGACCGATTGGCACAGATGAGCATATGCTCTTCACTGGCACGGAAATTCCCCAAACTAACAATTATAGGGGAAGAGGTAAGACTTGTCAGGGATACAGTATTTTTTTAATGACTGTTTCCCATATGGACTTATAATTGCGACTTTAATGATATATATACCACTATTATTATTTCAAGTGTTGTATCTGGTGTTTTAACACCAAAATAATTGGTCATATTCCTTGGACTTGAAGGAAATGTCTGATTATAAAATATTTTGGTCCATGTCTAGGCAGATATCTCACTTCTTGACCATAGAAGATAGTGTTCCTATCCAGCATGCAAACTATAAGATGGGAAGAGTTCTAGAACTTTGGAATAAAATGGATTTTGTTGTTTCTGATCTTGTTTTTTTGTTTAAAATTAGGCTTACTCGTACACTTCCCCAAAGACTATAACACTGTGAAACTGATGGAGTTTGCCTCCCCTGTGTTTGAGAGAGAGGTATCTGATGTCAGAGCCACTTTACTTGAGTATTAAATAAGTTTATAGCACTTAGATATTCTTTTTTTATTTTTTTAACTGTTCAGGATAACGAAGATGGGATATTTTGTAGCCAACTTTGATCAGCCGTGTATGGTCATTTTTGCGGTTTTATTTGATTTGCTTTATTTTCTACGGAGTTAAACTCTAAACGCAAAGGGTAAACAGGAAGGCCTAGTGAACCATGATGTTGCATTTCTTCTGTTATGAAGACAGAGGATGCTCTGTAAACACCAGATAGCTTCAGTAACCATCCATGTTCTCCACTTTAGGATCTGCCTTCTGAAGAAGTAGATCAAGAGCTGATTGAAGATGGTCAGTGGGAGGAGATACTGAAGCAGCCGTGCCCATCACAGTATAGCGCCATTAAAGAGGAAGATGTATGATATGTATCATTATTTAATTCTTTTTTTTTTAAATATTTTTATTTATTTCTAGGAGAGAGAGAGAGAGACAGCGTGAGCAGGGGAGGGCCAGAGAGAGAGGGAGATACAGACTCTGAAATAGGCTCCAGGCTCTGAGCTGGCAGTCAGCACAGAGCCCAACGCGGGGCTCGAACCCACAAACCGCGAGATCATGACCTAAGCGAAAGTCGGACGCTTAACCGACTAAGCCACCCAGGCACCCCTCATTATTTAATTCTTGGTCAACCTTCACGTTTTTGCTGTAGTAAATAAAACTTGCCAGTAATGTTAAGAAGTTGGTAGATATAAAATAGGGGCAACCAGGAACTTGAAATCTTTCAGGGCCAGCATAGAAGTATCAGGCAACCATATGGGATGTATGAGCTATTAATTTAGGGTTTAGTTTCTTATCTTATTGGTGTCTTCTCTATTCTAAAACTGTTATTAAAAATACAGGAAGAGCATCTAATTTGTTAGATTTGGGTAAAACATTTCATTGGTAATTGGGGCTGGAAGAAGATGAAATAGATCAGTACCTTAAAGGTTTACAAGGCCATAAAAATCACCTTGCTTACTTATTTTGATTTGTTTAACATCTATTCATCAAATATCTACTATGAGTAAGGCACTTTGCTCTGTGGCTTGGAGGATAGAAAGAAAATGAAATATGGTGTGTTTCATCAGAAATATGCCTCATTCACAAAGTCACATCAAGCATTATAATTCTAGTGGGTAGTGGTGCATATCCTGAATCACATTAAAATCCCAAGGAAAAGGTCTTTCTTTCTTTTTTTTTTTAGTGTACCATCAGTTTATAAACCATTCATTTTTCTTTGCTGTACATAAATGGTATCCTTAAGTTAAAGTCAGACTGTCATTATTTTTTTTAATCAGCATTATATGTCAAAGTGAGTACCAGCCACACATTGTTTTCCATGTATTACCACATAGAGCTCAGTGTGTTCATAGCATTGTATTTAGTGTTCAGGTGACAACAAATATATTAGTTAAGCATTTCATATTTAAAATTCTTTGTTTGAGAGTGTGTGAGTTAGGGAGAGGGGCAAAGAGAGATAACCTTAAGCAAGCTCCACACTTAGGGCAGAGCCTAAAGCAGGGCTTGGTCCCACAACCCTGGGATTATGATGTGTGCTGAAATCAAGAGTTGGACGCTTAACCAACTGAGCCACCCAGGAGCCCCGCATATTTAAAATTATTAAATTAGGGGAGCCTTGATGGCTCAGTCGGTTAAGCATCCATCTTTGGCTCAGGTCATGGTCTCACGGTTCCTGGGTTTGAGCCCACATCGGGCTCTGTGCTGACAGCTTCGAGCCTGGAGCCTGCTTCAGATACTGTGCCTCCTCTCTCTGAGAGATAGTTTGTGCTATCTCTCAAAGGTAAATAAATGTTAAAAAAAAAAAAAAAAAAAACCTAAAATTCTTAAATCAGACTTTTCTCTAATTTAAATGGACTTTTTCCGTGATTGCAAAACATTAAGGTTTTTTAGTATCACAAAACTGATGACATTAGCTTAAGCAATTCATAATATAATTTTAAAAATGAAAAAAAGTATTTTTAATCTACTTAACCCTATTTTTAAAATGTTGTCTGCCTAATTTGGCTATTTCTCTCTGTCTCTTTTTCTTTTAGCTTGTGGTCTGGGTTGACCCTCTGGATGGGACCAAGGAATATACTGAAGGTTAGTGTCTTTTTGGTATTTGTTTCCGATAGCAATAAGTCTAGTGTATGATATTTAATTGGCAACACTTACTATTTCATCTGCTGCATGAAAACCTGGTATCATAGCTTATGTCCGTGCCCTGAAGCTGTATTTGTGCGCATGCTCGCTAACTGTTATTGTCTATCAGTGAACATCGAGACAGAGAGGGAGAAAGTTCATCCCCTTCAAATACCAACCCCCCCAACTCTCTACCAGCTGTACAGTTCTAACGTCCCCCACGTGAGGACAGCTGCCACTAAACCCGTGTCACCAAAGGGACAACACTGAACCCCAGCTCTGCTGGGCTAGAAAACAATGAAAAGCCCAGCTGCACTGCTGCGCTCTGCCGCCTCTGCCCTCCCATGCCCTTCCGCTCACCCTCCCCTCACGTGTGAGCCGCCTTCTCACTCACAGCCTCACCTTTAAAGATGAATTTGGAGGGGCGCCTGGGTGGCTCAGTCGGCTCAGTCGGTTAAGCGGTTAAGAGTCCAACCTCGGCTGAGGTCGTGATATCATGGTTCCTGAGTTCAAGCCCCGTGTCAGGCTCTGCGCTGACAGCAAGGGAGCCTGCTTCAGAGCATGTGTCTCCCTCTCTCTGCCTTTCCCCCATTTGCTGTCTCTCTCAAAATAAATCAGTAAACTTAAAATTTACAAAAAAAAAAAAAAAAAAGATGAGTTTGGAAACATAGTACAATATTTCTCGTTTCTCAAATTGCCTAGTGAGAAAACCTAGAAAGTAGCAAATTAAAATAAAATGGACAGCATTAAAGTAAAAAGACCACGCTCTGAAGTTGTATGTTTTAGGAGCATAGCATACATAAGCTTAGAGTTTTATTTTTGAAACAAAGATCCTCATGGGTTTTCTGATATTGGTTCTCCGTTTTATGCCTTAAGAAAAAGAAGATTTTTTGTAATTATTAGAAAAAGATTTCTCTGTCATTGGGTGTGACATATCTATAAAGAGTTGCCACACAGTATGTATGCACATCTATGTATGTATGATCTGTTGAGAAGTAGAGAAGCTCTAGACAGCTTAGTATCTGTAAGAACACCCAGATAAATTGTTTAGATCTTGAACCCTATCTCCAGAGATTTTGATTCACTGGCTCTGGGAAGGACCCTGAGAATCAGTGTTAAAAATTATGCCAGTTATAGGGGTACTAGCAGGCTAAGTCGGTAGAGCATGCGACTCTTGATTTCAGGGTTGTAAGTTTGAGCCCTACGTTGGGCATCAAGCTTACTTTAAAAACAAAACAAAACAAAACCATGCCAGTTAATTCTGAAGCTGCTTGACAATGCACAGACCCCGCTTGGAGAAACCTTGCCTTAGAGACTTGAAATGGAGATGTGGACAGTAATCCTGGAACAGAGAGTGATGCAGCAGGCAGGACCGACATGGATGGTGGCAGAAGGGTGTAGGAATTTGACAGTAATGGCTGTGGAGTTATGGCTGGTGTATCCAATTGGTTTACAAATTGTGGTAATGAGACCATGCCTATCGATTCAGTTAAGTGGCCATAGATCCTTCTTCTGTCTCTGGCCAGCTGTCTCTTATAATTTGTGCATTTTTACCAGAAGTAGGATTGATCGTGGATGAATCATTACAAATTTCTTACCTTTCTTCCCAAAATAACTTGGAGCAATTGATGTGCTGATGATGCATTGTAAGATGAGAAAGTTATATAATTGATACTCATTTCTTCCTCATAGGTCTTCTTGACAATGTGACTGTTCTTATTGGAATTGCTTACGAAGGAAAAGCCATAGCAGGAGTCATTAATCAGCCATATTACAACTACCAGGTATTATTATCAATGATATAAAAGTATCTTATTAGATAATTATAGTGTTTTATGATTCCTGATGTCATCTAATCCAGTGATTTCTAATTGCACTGCCCATGCAGTTATTAGGGAGGTCAACAAAATTCAGATTCCCAGGTCATACCCTGGACCTATTGAATCAGAACCCTCAGGGCTCTGATACCAGGAATGTATATGTACGTATTTGTGTTTACAGAGAGATGCTATGTAAATTACATATACTTTGTTTATGTGTGTCTTAGTATTTGAATGCCAAAGTTTGGGAATTACTGACATGGTTCTTGATTAGCTTGGTTATTGAGACACCTGATTTACAGGTGGTTCTTGAAGCATATTGAAGAAATGAACCATTTCAGCCAAGAAAAGATGCTAGCCATGTTGTTTTCCAGGTAATACTCTATAACCCCTAAATCACAGTCAGCATTGGTAATAGAACTAGCTATGCTCTTGCACTCATTTCTCTTATTTTGTCTCTCTAATCTGCTTTGACTTTATATTATGCTCCCGAGAAATTGCCTTCCTTAGAAGCAAGAGACTAACATAATTCCACGACAGAAATATGCCATGAGGGGCATCTGGGTGGCTCAGTCGGTAAAGCACCCAATTTCGGCTCAGGTCATGATATGACAGTTCGTGAGTTCAAGCCCTGCATCGGGCTCTGGGCTGACAGCTCAGAGCCTGAAGCCTGCCTCAGATTCTGTGTCTCCCTATCTGTGTCCCTCCCAAGCTAATGCTCTGTCTCTGTCTCTCTCTCTCTCTCTCAAAAATAAAAATTAACATAAAAAAACCTAAAAAAAAAAAAAAGAAATATACCATGAAATCACATTAAATGTTAAAGGAAATTGTTGAAATAAAATAGTTGCGGTATTTGCATTACTGTCACCTTGATAGAACATTGGAGAATTAAAGTAAACAGAGTGGAGACTATTAACTTCTGAATTCCTAATTTGAATTTAAGAGCAGGATTAATCTTTGCTTCTAAGATAAATTTGTTTTTCATATATATGATTATAACTTTTTACTTATAATTATGTGCTTCTTAAAATTATTTAGCCAAAAGAGTTCTGCGGTATTGAGCACATCTCTCATACTGAATTGCTTAAGTGTCTTTAATTTTTTAAACATGACTTTAACGTTTATACAATACTATATGCAGATGCAAATTTGTGGCTTTTATGTAAACTTTAAGTTAATACCATTACTTAAAAGAGGAGCATTTAGTTCACAGATGATGTTGAAATGCACGGCACCTTACATCAAAAGATTGTCACAGTGCTTAGGGGTTATTAATAGTTTCCATCACTTCTTTCTGAGATTAGAAAACTTGTATTCATTTTCCACAGAACAATGAAAAGCAGAAGTTAAGGGAACACGGGAATGAAGCAAAGGTGAGAAAAATAGGGTATGGGCTCCACTAGTAGGTAGAAAACAAGGCAAGCGACGTGTGATGCCAGGTGGCCATTGTCCCTCCCACGTGCCTGTTCGTTTCCTACTGTTCTGCCGCTCCCACTGCTACCCCTCTCTTCTCCACAGCCCCTCGTGTATTCTCTTTTTCCTCTCGTCCTTCACGCTTGCTTATGCCTTAAAATTTGTTGCAGCAAGTGGAAAAGTTGCCTCGCTATGTTGATGGGATTCAAGGCTGGATATTCAATTTTAAAAAATCCTCAGTGTAATAATAATTATAGCTAACGTGTATCAAGAGCTTACTGTGTGCTGCCAGACTCAAGATTCACATGCATTATCTCATGTAATACCACAGTCCTGTAAGGAAACCTTTATCCTTGTTTTAAAGAAGAGGAAACTGAAGCAAGTAACTTGCCTGTCATGGACAAGATCTGGATCCTGAAACCGAGGTCCAGGCTCTTACCATTACTCTATATTGCTTTCTTGAGCCAGATAGAAGACCACCAATTTGAACTTTAGTTATTACTTCTAACAGATACTGAAGCTGGTAAGCACTTGAAGCAGTGTGGCTTCATGCAAAGAAACCTAATTGGCCTTTACGTCTGAGATAGCTTCTTAACCATTATGAATTGTCATTAACCATTGTGAAGCCTTTGTTATGCCCAGAAAGTTGGTGTGGTGCTTTTGAAGGAGAGAGACGGGAGAGATCAGGAGCACAGGGGAAGGCTCACTGGCTGCCTCATGGGATTGCGTTTACTGCACTCAGGTGCCAGATTCCTTGGTCACATCCTCTTTGCCTACATACTCATTTGTGGAGCGAATGTGACCTTTTAGGAACCGGAATCCCCATGTCTACTCTTTAGTATGCTTTCCTTTCTTTTTCAGAATAAATGGAGAGCTGAATTGGTAAATAGGTTTCTTGAGAGCATGAGATTTATTTCAGCAATCAAGCTAAAACCCAATGAGCACCAGAGCCCATCTGTACCTTTCAGGTTCTAAGACTCTAGTGTAAACTCAAGAATCTATAAAACACGGAGGAAGCACGTGAACATATATTGAGCACCAAGCACTTGTTCTTTGGTTCCTTTGTTGCCCCACTTGCAGGGAGAGCTATGAGCAGACAGCCTTCAGCAGGCAGCACCGTCAAGCATTCTCACCCGCAAAGAGCTGCCTCACCCAGTGACACGTCCTTTCTCAAGGCAGTCCATTTCCAATGACTGATTAGCGCATGAGCGTTAATGCCTGGTATTTCCTTCCAATTTCTGCTAAGCTGAGGGCCGTTTTAGCTTCAGGGCTCATCAGCTGAGGCTGTTGTTGGATCTGCATCACAGCTCGGTTTCTCCCTCTGCCCACGCATGCTTTCTTCCCTCCCTTACACAGGCGTTGATCCCAAAAGTACTCTGTAAAGACACCCTCCCTAATTCAGAGTCTGCTTCCCACGGAGTGCAACCTGCAACATAAGCATATTTCACGGCAACAGCACTCAGGGTGCTGCCAATGGACAAATAAGATGATGTGTTTGAAAGCATTTTGACAAATCAAATGTGGCAGTATAGTTTAGTGGTGAAGAATATCAGCTTTGAATACAGATGAGCCTGAGTTTGCTTATGAGCTTCCTGGAGTCCTTGGTCAGGTTACTTAACGATTCCACATCTCAGTTTTCTCATCTGTAAGGCAAGCATGATAATACCTGCTTCATGGAGTTTCTTGGGGATTAAATGAGATAATACATGTAAAGCACTCAGTATAGTGCCTGGTACTTGCTTAGAATTCAGTAAAATATATGTCTGTACGTCTATGGTATATGTTCAGTATATTAACATAATGTGCTAATGATTTTATGCATCAGTTTCACTTTCCATGAGATGCAGTTTGTTTTTCTGTATGAAATGTAAAACGAGGTGTTGGAAAATTCTTTGAGCTCCGCAACGGAAAATACAGAGGCTAAGGTTGCATTATCATTGCCATTTTACCACCACAGCTGTCAGTAACGATGTTAACCCTGACCCCATTATCTGTGGCTGCTCTTCAGTACCGGCATATTCAGTTGCCCTGTCTCTGCAGCAGCAAAATACATCATCACTGTTACCTATTCCCATAGTAACAAGACCCTTGCTGTCCGTTGGATGATGAAAAGTAGTGATCGATACATGGTGTTTCATTTCCCCAGGGACTTCGGTACCTTGCAGACAGCTATTTTCAAACACAATAATGAGATCATTGGCTGGTTGAGAAAAAGATAGTATAGGATGTTTCCTTGCCTGAGGACTTCAAGGAGTAACCCTAAGTCCCCTTCAGTTACCTCCTAAACCCAATTATTAGCCAAAACAAGAGAATAATCAGCTGATTATCTCAGGAAAATTTTATTGTCGATGATACTGTTCTTGTTCTTTATAACATTATCATAGTTTTATTTTAAAAAAACCCATGCTGCTGACATAACTCAGTATTCTATTTATGGCTGACATTTTTCTCCAGACAATTACAAGCTTTGCTTTTTCACTCGCTTATATAGGCAGGACCAGATGCCGTGTTGGGGAGGACAATCTGGGGAGTTTTAGGTTTAGGTGCCTTTGGGTTTCAGCTGAAAGAGGCGCCTGCTGGAAAACACATCATCACGACCACCCGGTCCCATGGCAGCAAGCTGGTGATGGACTGTGTGACGGCCATGAACCCGGACGATGTGCTACGAGTGGGAGGAGCAGGAAATAAGGTATAGAAGCACCTGCCATTCCACTGAAATGCAGTGGAGTCTTTGACAGAAATCCCAAGCTTTAAAAAAAAAAAAAGTGAGAGTAGAGCTGGGGAGAAGGAATTAGAGGTTGTAACTGACCATTAAAGGCATATTTCAGCAACATTTGAAATTTTTAAAAAATTAGTTTGAGTCCTTTTTATCTAAGAGTGTTCGGTGCTGATAGAAGCCTCCAGGATAAGATCCTGTGCCTCTTGCCAGCCCTCCTGTTCTCGAGACTCTCTGGGGTTACTTCTAGTCTTTTCTTCTGCGGACTCCAAGGATGGGCCTGCCTGCCCTTCCTAGATGCTTCCCCCATTCTTTCATCTAGGCTCCCATCCTCCTGAGAAAATTGTGAAATGGAACACAATTTGATCTGCATCCCTAGCCCTGATCTCTTCTCCTCTGCTTGCCCCTGGATATCATCATGGTGACACCCTTAGGTATCTCAAAGGCAGCATGTCCACTTGGAGCTTTTCCTTTTTCTTCCTGCCCCTCATGTCTTCCTCTTATTTCCTATTTGCCTCCATTTTCCTAACTGCTCCAGGCAGACACCTGAAAGTCATCCACAACTCCTGTCTTCCTACAGCCTCTGTATCTTCTTAATTCCTCCCTAATGTCTCCTCTTGTCCATCTTAACTGCCCCCACCCGACTTGAATCCTATCATCATCCTTCACCCCAGACTTTACAGTAGCTTCTGAGTGGTCTCTCTGTTCAGTCCCCGTCCTCACATTAACACAGAGCAGTTAAAAATGCAAAACTTACATCCATCACTCCCTTGCCCCAAGCCCTTGGACATCTCCCTGCACAACAATTGAAAATCCAAGCCTAGAAAATGGAAGGTAAATTCCTCTATATCTTGGCCCTTGGACACACCCCAGCCTTTTCTCATGACATCCCCCAACTCAGAAGTTAGTGACACTAGACTGCCTATAGTTCCTGGTGCATGTGCATTTCACACTCGTGTGCCAGGCATGGGGAAGGCGAATAATAAATACTTACTCAACTGAGTGGAATTAATTTTTCTTCATCCACCCTTTGGAAGCAGTGATCAACTATTTTTAGAGTTTTCAAAAGCGCTTACTGGTAAGAGGATGAAAATAGGGGCATAAATATAATAATATTTGGGGGAAAAAACTAAAACATTTCCAAGTAAAAATGTCTTTTTGGTATTCACCAAATGTAAATAGTGACAGATGTGATTTCTCTTTGCCCTTACATTTATAACCACAAAAATCCCCTTACATCTTTTATTCGCAAGGAGGACCATTCTTCTTAGGAACAAAGTCCCCATCCTGCACATTCCCTACCTTCTCTCCTATAAAAAGACCTTGTTGGGCAGTTATTCACTTTTTTTTTTTTTATATCAGGGACTTCTTTAAGAATCTAATGAAGGCTACAGCCCTTCTTCCCTCAAAAAATATACCTGAAATAGTTCTGGCCCATAATAAGACTTGACACACAGTTGTTAAATGAAAGGAAAACCATTTTCTTAAAAGTCTCCAGTACGGTTTAATCGAGTTTGATGGCGTTTTTGAATAATAATAAGGAAATGAATTGGTTACATTGTGTTCACTGAGGTTTTCCTCATTCTCATTGCCTCATTCTCTCAGTCTAGTCTCTTCAGCTGAATATTCGAAATCTGGATTTTATAGTACTGATTATTTGACAGTGTAACCAAAAAATAAGTAAATAACTAATTAAAGTTTGATGGCGGTTACTCTTTAGAATCATGCAGTTTCTATCAGTGACCTCTGTTTTGTTTGAGAATTTTAAGAGTTACTAAGATGACAATTTAAAAATTCGTATTTTGGTAGTAGAAACCACAATGCATACGATTCCTGACACTTAAACTATTTGTTACATCGGTCAGCATTGCATGTCTGTTAGGACTTAACTACAGTTTATATATTGCCACACTACTTGATATTTCTCTGTCCTTTATGTAATAATGGTCACTTCCCAACAAGATCGAAAAACCTTAATTTTTCTATAATATGTAACATATTGCTTTATAGTAAGAGAGAAACAATGTAATAAAAAGAAAGTTAAATTTAACTGACTAGGACTATGAAGACTGTTCTGATAGACTCCTTGTAGCTTATTTAACCACTTTTCCCTCTCTCAGGTCACTATATTATTCTGTATTCTATATATTTCTCCTTAATACTCATATTATTTAAACGGCTAAAGGCTTTAACCTAAGTTAAGTTGGACAGAGGAACTGATGAAATATACTTGATAGGAAGCGATTTCTCTTATTTATTCTTCAATCATTTCGTGGTCCATGGATAATTATTATCTCTAACCTTACAGATTATTCAGCTGATTGAAGGCAAAGCCTCTGCTTATGTATTTGCAAGTCCTGGATGTAAGAAATGGGATACTTGTGCTCCAGAAGTTATTTTACATGCTGTGGGAGGTCAGTCCCTTTTATTTTGGGGAATTACAATGTTTATAGTTTTTATATTATACTAAGATACAATTTTTCAGTATATTATTTTATCTAGACTCTGGATATAAAAACTAGAAGGAATCCTAGAGATTAGCCAGTCCAACCTCTACACTTCATAGAAATAGAAAATAGGTTTTTCAGCCAATTTCTTTCTTTAGTTATTGTTCATATTTGGGACTTTGATCCACATACAGTTGATTTGATTTGATTTTTTTTAATTTTAGAGGTACATGAGAACAGGGGAGAGGGAGGCAGAAGGAGAGAGAGAGAATCTTGAGTAGTCTCCACATTGACACAGGGCTCGATCCCACAATGCTGGGATCATGATCTGAGCCAAAATCAAGAGTTGGACACTCACCTACTATGTCAACCAGGTGCCCCTACATACAGTTGATTTATTTTTTTAATTTTTTAAAATTTATTTTTGAGAGAGAGACAGAGTGTGAATAGGGAAGGGGCAGAGAGAGACACACCTACACAATCCAAAGCAGGCTCCGGGCTCTGAGCTGTCAGCACAGACCCCGACATGGGGCTCAAACTCGCAAACCATGACCTGAGCCAAAGTGGACTGCTTAATCCACTGAGCCACCCAGGTGGCCCACATATGGTTGATTTAATTAAGCTCTAATAATTTTCGGCTTTAATACTTCTAGGGTTTTTTTTTTCCCTTAAAATGTAAAATATTCATTATCATTGTCTTCATCTCACTTAGTTTCATTTAAACCAATATTGGTAAATATCTTAGTACTAGTGCTTAAGATCATAGAGTTAGAATTGTTTTTAATCTGACTGAAAATATACTACAAATACATACATAGTAAGATGATTTTTCAATTTCTAATGACATTAGTTCCCTTCTACTCTTGAAACACTTGATTTTTTTAATAAATTTTCCTAATATATTATTAATATCTCATTAGTATATAACATGACAAGGAAGTTAGACTCATCACAATCCCATCTCTTTATAGTGTTTAATGAAACTGTAATGTAGCACAGTTATATTTGATGAACATACTTCACTTAAACTCTTATTAAATAAAGTATTAACATTCAATGGTAGAATTAAAAAAAAAACACTTTTAAAAATGAGGATAGTAGTGTTGGAATAGAACCAGCAAGAAATGTAATCACCTCAGGATAAGAGAAATTGATACTGAGAAATATAAATTAAAACTGCTAAGTGAAACTAATTTTAATCGGGGAGAAAAAATAACTTCTCTTTCAATTAGTCAAAATTGCTCTATAGTTTTAAATTTAAATGAATTAAAACTTAACCTTTATAATCACTCATGATCTTTCCTATCTTATCCAAAATGAATCGATATTATTGTACAGGGAAGTAAAAGGCGCTTAAAAATAACTAGAAACATAACCACGTGGTCTGTCACTAATGTCATATTGATTTTTTTTCTGTAGGCAAGTTAACCGATATCCATGGAAATGCCCTTCAGTATAACAAGGAGGTGAAGCATATGAACTCAGCAGGCGTCCTGGCCACACTGCGCAATCACAACTACTATGCAAGTCGAGTTCCAGAATCTGTTAAAAGTGCCCTTGTTCCTTAAACGAAAATCTCTTGGACTTAGCTAGGAGAAGAACTTGATTCTCAGAGTAATACACTTTAATTAGATGGAATTAGAGTTCCACATTTTATTCATTGTTGATCAGTGATTTATACTTACTTAGGAGTAGAAAAAGGAATGAAAGAATTTCTTGATTAATTAATCCCCCAGACCAATTGTGACATATGAAGGGTTTATAAAGTAAGTGTGTTAATGGTTCCTTTCCTCCTTGTGTTTGGATAAATGAAAGGAAGGCTTAATTTCAACTCCCTTTTCTGATCAGTTGTGTAATCAACATTCCTGTTAGTGTGAACAAGATTTCCTTAGGGCCCAGAACCACAGGTTGTTACCTGAATCTCATTCTTTTTCACAGTGATTTTAAAAGTTTTCCTTACTCCAGTGATGAATACACTAAAATGTCATGTATGTGGATGAAACAGATTTATGAGAAAAAATTCTTTGTAATAAATTAAGTTATTTAATTCTAGTTCTTTATGTTCTTTACCACCTTTTAAAATTTTTGAGTAGTATTTAGGGCACCTACTACTAAAATTTTTGAGTAGTATTAAGGGGCTTAGTCGGTTAAGCCTCCGACTTTCGCTTAGGTCATGATCTTGCAGTTCGTGGGTTTGAGCCCCGCGTCAGGCTCTGTGCTGACTGCCAGCTCAGAGCCTGGAGCCTGTTTCAGTCTGTGTCTCCCTCTCTCTCTGACCCTCTCCTGCTCGCGCTGTCTCTCTATCTCTCCTAGAAATAAATAAAAATATTAAAAAATAATAATAAATAAAATTTTTGAGTAGTATTTGAAAATGACATATTCTCTACTGTGGACTTTATTTTTATGACATCATTATAATGACTAATTATGGAAATTTAGGTAATTACCTTAGTTCTTCCCAAGGGGGGATTATAACATAAACTATCAAAATTATTCTGACATTCTGCCCAGATTTTTCTTTTCAAGGTCTCTTTGTGGTGCTTCTAAATATTTTTCTCTGTTATTGGATTAGGGAGAAGTAGTTTAAATTAATGGTTCTCAAACCCTATATCACCTAGGAAGCTTTTCAAAAATACAGTCATGTGCTCCATCCCAGCAGTTTTGACTCTATATATTTTTAGAAGGCTATTCTGTGGACTTTGATAATCATTGAAATTTAGATAATATCTTCAGAGCATCTGTAACATAGCCTGAAGTATAGTCTTCTGACATTGACACCTTTGACCAGTCCAGTGTCTTGTAACTCTCAGTGATTTTCTTCTTCCCTCTCCAGCCACTCCCACTTAGTCCCCTGTCTTGGTTTCTCTTTGTCTCTCTTCATTTAAATGTCAGTGCGTTCACCAAGATTCTGCTCTAGGTTCTCTCTACCTTCTCATTAGTTGATGTAATCCACACATATAGCTTCACTTGGGCTGTTTGCCCTTAATTCCAAAATCTTTATCTAACTTAGAACTCTTAGGGCCACCTGGCTGGCTCAGTTGGTAGGTATAGCATATGACTCTTGATCTTGGAGTTGTGAGTGCCTTCTCCACCTTGGGTGCAGAGTTTACTTTAAAACAACCACCACCACGATCCTCTCAGATTTTAAATTGCCTTGCCCAAAAGCCTGTTTCAATGTCTCACAGGTATCTGTGAATTATTATGTCTACAAAGCCATTCATTCTTTCCCATCCCTCCTTATTTTACTAATCGTCAAGGTGATTCTAATAATTGGCCAAATTTGGAAATCACTTTCTAAATCCATTTATTTCCCTCTAAGAATAAAGTTCTCTATCTATAAAAAACAGACTAAACCTAAAAAAAAAAAAAGCCTGAGTACAATGTGAAGCCATTTTCTACAGGCTTCTATTTAATTTTTTTTTAATGTTTATTTATTTTTGAGAGAGAGAGAGGCAGAACACAAGTAGGGGAGGGGCGGAGAGAGAGAGGGAGACACAGAATTATAAGCAGGCTCCAGGCTTTGAGCTGTCAGTGCAGAGCCTCACGTGGGGCTCGAACTCACGAACCATGAGATCATGACCAGAGCCAAAGTTGGCTGCTTAACCAACTGAGCCACGCAGGTGGCCCAACAAGTGTGTTTTGAGTATGTACCCAATATTAGTCACTGCCCTAGGTATATACAACAGTGGACATAACACTGACTTCTTATCTTTCCTTTATTGAGCTCATGTTCTTGTGAAGCAAATCAGAAAATGAATAAGTGCATGAAATTATTTAGATTGTGGTAAATGCTGCAGAGGAAATCAAGTAGGAAGATTAGCTAGGAAGCAGCTGAGGCAGGATGGGGGCTGGAAGATGATCTCTTTTACAGAAAGCAGATATCTTCTCTGTGGAGCTGAGATTTCTGGTAGGAATAACGAGCACAGTGCTTCAGAGAAGAGAAAGAAAGAAAAACAAAGGAAGGGAGCCAGTATGGCTGAAATAAAGTAAACAAGGAGAGAAGAATGTTATAAAATGAGGTTGGGGAGGCAGAAGCCAGGTCATGTGTGGCCTTAAAAAAAGTTTTTTTTTTTCTTTGCTTAATTTTAAGTAGGGGAAATGAAAATGACCATTAAAAGGTACAGGGTTTCTTTTTGAAGTGATGGTTTAAAATTGTGCGAATGATTGGACAGCTCTGACTACACTAAAGACCATTGACGCGTACACTTTAAGATGGTCAATTGTATGGTGTATGAATTATATTTTAATGAAGCTGTTAGAAAAAAATTAAATAGCCCCATGTGGCTAGTGCCCATCATATTACATAGGACAGCTCCATATCCTCTTCCAGGCTACCTCTGCAATTTCCACAGCCACTCAGATTCAGCAAGACATTTGAACTAAGCCTCGGAATTATAATATGCAGTTGCTATGGGATATTTTCGTCCAGATATCTTTTTTTTATTTTTATTTATTTTTTTCTTTTTTTTTCCAAGTAGTTTATTGTCAAGTTGGTTATCTTTTTTTTTTTTTTTTTAAAGTAGTCTCCACGTCCACTGTGGGGCCTGAAATCACAACCTGAAGATCAAGAGTCGGGTGCTCTACCGACTGAGCCAGCCAGGCGCCCCTCCGTCTAGGTGTAAGCGTCTCAAAAAATCAATCTGGGGCCACATTACCTTGCCAACCTGTTCTCCCTCCTGTCTTGCCTTCTTAGATGATGACAGCCATCCACCCAGTCATCCAACCCGAAGCCTGGCAATAGACCTAGACACCTGCTTCCCTCCCACCAACCCCTTCCTCAGCATCTCAGCAGTCACCACTGAGTTTACCTCTCAACTATGTCTGGAACTTACTCTTTGTTCTCAGCTCTGATTTTCACTGCCTTACTTTAGGCCTTCATCTTTTACCCTCTGTCTGGTAGACTGCTCTAATGGCGTCTTGACTGGCCTCTGCCACCATTTCTACACACGCCAATCTGCCTGCCATGCTGTTGTCGAAGCGGTCCTTGTAAAATGCAGTCCTGATCATATCTTGCTGCTGCTCAAAACTCTACTGACTTCCTATCACAGGATGAAGTCTAGCTCCTCAGAACTCTATACTTTAGTGTCTGCTGACCTTACAGCTTTTTAATCTCATTGAAAAATATTTTACATTCCGGCAGTAACAAACTGGCCAGTTTTCCAAATACACAGCTTCACGACTCCAGGCTTTAGCTCATGTTCTTTCTTTGACCTCTTTTTTCCATCCCTTAGATGTGCCGTCTCTTACTAGAAGCTTTCCTTAACTATTCTCTCTTCCCTCCCCTACTCACCAGGGATAATCATTTTCCATCTTCAGAGCTACATTTGTACTTTGTGTAAGCTTTTATTCATGCATTTATTGTTAATACTCTTATTTCCAAAACATTTAAGAAAAATTTTTTTAGTTTATTTTGAGAGTGTGAGGAGGAGCAGGGGAGGGGTTGAGAGAGAGAGACAGAGAGAGAGAGAGAGAGAGAGAGAGAGAGAGAGAGAGAGAATCCCAAGTAGACTCCTGCACTGTCAGCACAAAGCCTGATGCAGGGCTGGTACTCATGAGCTGCGAGATCATCACCTGAGTGGAAACCGAGAGGGGGCGCTTAACTGACTGAGCCACCTAGGTGCCCCCCCCAAAATGTTTTTAAGATGAATGTATTTCTATTGCTGCATCTCCTGTTTTATTACACTGTAAGAAGGGTTTAATGTGTTGTCTGAATCTCAGTAGATGCTGAAAATGCCCATTTTTATCTTTTATTATTTTAGAAAAAATACTGCTAAGCTAAGAACAGAAGCAATTTTTCTTAATTGGATAAGGAGTATATGTGAGATATCAGAAGCAAACACTATCTTTTTTGGCATTAAACTTTTTTTTAATGTTTATTTATTTTTGAGAGAGCAAGAGAGAGACAAAGCATGAGCGGTGAAGGGGCGGAGAGGGAGACACAGCATCCGAAGCAGGCTCCAGGCTCTGAGCTGTCAGCACAGAACCTGACGTGGGGCTCAAACCCACAGACCATAAGATCATGACCTGAGCTGAAGTCGGATGCTTAACCCACTGAGCCACCCAGGCGCCCCGCAAACAGTATTCTTGATGGTGAAACAACTACGTTCCTGCAAAGTCAGGAATAAGAGAAGTATGTTTTTGCTCAACATTAACATTGTCCCTTTAAAATGTTATTCTGAAAGTTCTTGATGATGAAAGAAATAAGAAATAAGAGCTATAAATATTGGATAGAAAGAAAAAAAGTACCTAGAAAATTCAAAATGACTAAGAAAACAATTGGAACTAATAAAAGCATCCAACAAGATAATGGTCCTAAGACCTGAGACTCTTACTGCTGCATGGCTTACTTTCCAGAAAGCAGGTTTCTATTTGTGTACCACAGCTGTACACTCTTTGTGTCAGTTCTACTGATGACATCCATTTCCTTGATGACTCCATGCGTCTCAAAATCAAGAACAATACAATTGGGAAGAATAATATGATTACACAACTCTATAAACAAATGGAAGAGCTATCAGTACTTCTGAGCAGTAATCTCTTTCCCACTCAGTAAACAATCCCACTCTCTTCTGAATTGTTAAAGTATTTCTAGACTCATCCAGTTGTTGGGGACTTGGAATGTTCTGCTTTTACTGAAGTCTTTTTAGAACCGTGTGTATTACTTTGACAGTAGTAGATGTGCTGAATGACACAGATGGAACTGAAACAAGCTTAAAAGTTAAAAGTTAGCAACGGCATTTAAAATGAAAAAGTTAGCTCTATCAAATCCATGGATTAAGACAAGGCTGAGGCAGTATATGCAGTGTTTTACATTAGTAAAGTGGAGAATGGGGAACTCGAAGGATTTTAGTTGTTTATCCTTTTTTTTTTTTTTTAAACTAAAGTCCTTATGTGGTACTTTTCTTGTGTCCATGACTTATTTATTTTATAACTGGAAGTCTGTACGTCTTAATCCCCTCCACCTATTTCATCCATCCCCTCCTCCACCTCCCTTCTGGCAACTACCAGTTTGCTCTCTGTTTTTAAGAATCAGGCTTTTCATTAATTTGTTT